TCTGCCACCTCGGCCTCCCAAAGTGCTGGGATTACAGGCATGAGCCACCGCGCCTGGCCAGGATCTCTTTCATTTATTTACATCTGCATGTAAATCTACAATGATCTCAATAAAATTTTTAATTAAAAATATATATCCAGGCCAGGAGTGGTGGCTCATGCCTGTAATCCCAGCACTTTGGGAGGCTAAGGCAGAGGTCAGGATGGCTTGAGCCCAGGAGACCAGCCTGGGCAACATGGTGAGACCCCATCTCTACAAAAAATACAAAAATTAGCCAGGTGTGGTGGCATGCACCTGTAGTCCCAGCTAGTTGGGAGGCTGAGGTGGGAGGATTGCTTGAGCCTGGGAGGAGGTTGCAGTGAGCTGAGATCACACCACTGCACTCCAGCCCAGGTGACAGTGCAAGACTCTTGTCTACAAAAAAAAAGAAAGAAAGAAAAGAAAGAAAGAAAGAAAGAAAGAAAGAAAGGAAGGAAGGAAGGAAAGGAAGGAAAGGAAGGAAAGGAAGGAAAGGAAGAGAAAAAAGAGAAATATCCAGCACCCATCAGAGAAAATATACTATGCCTAGCATTCAATTAAAAATTATAGGCCGGGCTCGGTGGCTCACACCTGTAATCCCAGCACTTTGGGAGGCCAAGGCAGGGGGATCATCTGAGGTCAGGAGTTTGAGACCAGCCTGGCCAACATGGAGAAACCCAGTCTCTACTAAAAATACAAAAATTAGCTGGGCATGGTTGTGCATGCCGGTAATCTCGACTACTTGGGAGGCTGAGGCAGGAGAATCACTTGAACCCGGGAGGCGGAAGTTGCAGTGAGCCAACATCACACCACTGCACTCCAGCCTGAGCGACAGAGAGAGACTCCATCTTAAAAAAAAAAAATCAAATAGAGAAAGACACTGGATGACTTTAACAGCAGCTTATATGTTGCAAAAGAAACATGGACTTCAAGACAGAGCAACAAAGACAATACAAAATAAAGGAAAAAAGTGGGAACCTCTCCCGCCATGAGAACTTCATGAGCTGTGAGATAGCTCCTAATTATGAATCCCCAAAGAAGCAGGGGAGAAAAATATTTCAAAAGAAAAATTTTCCAAATTGATAAGCACTCTAATCCAATGGATCTAGAAAGGTAAACAAACCCAGAGCACAAGAGCATTAAGAACACCACACCATAACGAAGTCTCATTATGAAACTGCTCCAAATCAGTGACAGAGCAAAATATTTTAAATACTTTTTAAAATTGTTTGTGAAGAACGGGATCTCGCTATATTGCCCAGGCAGGTCTGGAACTCATGGGCTCAATCTGTCCTCCCACCTCTGCCTCCCTAAGTGCTGGGAGTACAGGCATGAGCCACTGTGCCTGGCCAGAGCAAAATATTCAAAGCAAGCAGGAAGGAAATAAAGAGACAACATAGAGAGGAACAAAGATAGGGGTGACAACAGATGTCTCGTGCAGACAACACAAGCAAGAAAATATTGAAGAAGTAACTCTAAAGTGCTGAAAGAAAAAAACTCAAGCCAGAATTCTAGATCTAAGGAACATATTAAATATGAAGGCAAAATAACGAGTTTTCATGTGTACAAAAGCTGAAGGAAGCATACCAGCAGACTAGCAATACAAAGTCCTCTGCCAGAAGAAATGATACCAAATGGAAACGTGGAACCGCATCAGGGTTTCTCCCCTTTGGCACTGATGACACTTTGGGGCTAATAATTTATTGTGGGGATGCTCAGTAGTATAAATAGCCTCTACTCACTACAGCCCAGAAGCACCACAGCTCCCGTTCTGGCAACCAAAATTGTCTCCAGATACGACCAAAGGACCCCTGGAAGGAAAAATCACCCCTGCCTGAGAATCACCGTATTCAATGGACGATTTTATTTCATATTTTCCATCTCTATCCTTTTGAGCAATAATCAGAGAATTCCTAGGACCAGTTCACGAATTCACTCCTCAGCTATGCCTATTCTGCTCTTCAACTCATCTGTTGGGGGGTTCTGGAAAAAAAACAAAAAAAAAAAACAACCTTTTTTTTTTTTTTAGAGGAATTTTAGGTTCACTTGAAAATTGAGGAGTTACCATATATCCCCTGCCTGTGCACACACACAACCTCCTCCACTATCAACATCCACTGTGGTATTTTTTGTTAACAAGTGATGAACCTTCATTAACAGATCATCACCCATAGTCCATAGTTTATATTAGGATTCATTATTGGTGGTGTATCTTCTGTGAATTTTGACAAATATATTACATGTATCCACCATTATAGTATACAAAATAGTTCATTGCCCTAAAAATTCTGTTCTCTGCCTATGCATCCTTTCCTCCCCCAACCCCTGACAACTCTTATTTTTTAAACTTCGATTATTAATGTCCAGTATCTCTTTTTGCTATTCTTGTTTCATGACTGCCTCTTTTTTTTTTTTTTTTAAATAAAATAACCATTTGTCTCAAGATCTTGCTGTATTGGAGACTTACTCTGATAGCTCTATTAACTTTTTCCCTTAGGTGAGAAATCTATGTGGTGCATGTGCTGTCTTCTTGGAGATGGCATTCCTCAAATGTCTGGCCACTATGGGGCAATTGTGTTTGTATTAGAGACCTCTTGGTAGGCCATCTGTTGCATGTGTGACCAGTACACTTGGAATGGTGGTAGCTGCTGCTGCATGTTGCACCCTACACTGTTTTCAGCTGGGCTATCTCAACACCTAGGCTTCTGTATGTTTGTACTGAATTCTTTCTGGGTGTCACCATTCCATGTTGGACACTATCTTGTCTGACTCCACCACTATACTCACTATGTCCACGTGGAAACACAAACCTTATTTCTGCCTAAGTGGCCCAAGGAGTGCTTGGGATGAATCATCACCTTGTCCGTTGTCCTTAGGCTTCTATCCTTATGGCCTTCCAAAGAGATTTAGAGAATGAACTCTCCCCATACCTATTAACTTCCCTATCCATCTTTGCTCTTAACTTCGTCCCCTATTGTCTCCTCCAGGACTTTGGCTCCTCTTTCTGGCATGGCCTGTTAGCTACCTCCCTTTAGCCTATGAACATGTTCAGTCTCTATTTGCTCTTAATCTTTTTTTTTTTTTTTTGAGACGGAGTCTCACTCTGTCGCCCAAGCTGGAGTGCAGTGGCATGGTTTCAGTTCCAGTGTGTAACCTCCACCTCCTGGGTTCAAGTGATTCTCCTGCCTCAGCCTCCCAAGTAGCTGGGATTACAAGCATGCACCACCACACCGGGCTAATTTTTGTATTTTTAGTAGAGAGAGAGTTTTGCCATGTTGGCCAGGCTGGTCTCGAACCCCTGACCTTAGGTGATCCACCCACCTCGGCCTCTCAAAGTGCTAGGATTACAGGCGTGAACCAATGCGCCCAGCTTGCCTGTAATCTCATACGCCGTTTTAATTCCTCCTTTCTCAACCGTTTTAAGAGTTGAGTGCATTCTTCATTTTTTCATATCCCATCTTTGCATTCTAACTTCCACGCCTCTCCCACAACTGAGGCTTCTCTCGCTAGTTTATCGGTGCCTCCTAATTGTTATGCACAGGAGACTTCGGATTGCTTCTCAGTCACACTTGACACTATTATCTGTCTTCTTGGCTTCTTTGATATTCCTTCCCAATTCACTTTCCTTTCCTCCTCTTTTGACTGTTCTCATGCTTCTGTGCATCCATTTGCTTCTTAAATGTTGGTGGGCCCTTTGCTATTGGCTGCATTTGCAAGAAATGAGCTGCGTTTATAGGGAAGAATGAGAGAGAATGAGTCCAGAAATGTGCAGATTTGCTGTGCTGGAAAAGTCAAGTTATTCTGGACCCCAACAGGATATAAAATAGAGAACGCCCCTGAAAAGCCAATTAAAATTCAACCTCTTGGCAAAGCATGCTTGAAATCGAATTTTGGCTCCACCACTACTCCTGTGAACTTGGGCAAGATGCCTTTCTGTATTTTGGATTCCTCATATACAAGATACCTACCGGACTGGGTTCATCATCAATATTAAATTAGTGAACACATGAAAAATACTTAGAACACTGCCTGGCATAGTTCAAGGCTCAATTAAAGTTAGACACACTATTATGCCAAAAACAACAACAACAACAACAACAAACCAAGGGATAGTAGGATGGCTTCGTGAGAGTTCAGGGATTTTTGATCCTTTTTACCACTTTCACAACTGACTTTTCTTAACGGTTGGTGGGACACCTGAATGGTGGATGTTTACACTTGTGACTGTCTCACAGACAACTCAACATGTCCAAAGCTCAACCCATCATCTTTCCCCCTCCCGTGTTCCCTCTTACCCCAGATAAAGGCACTAACATCTTTCCAGTCACTTGGCTAATCCTTGCTTCCTTCCTGTCCCTCATGCCCCAATTCCTATTTAAGGGCCTAAACAGATCTTGAATTAATCTTTTCTGCGTTTCCACGCCCACTTGGAGTCCCTCATATCTCGCCCTGTTTTTTCAATGCCCTCCCATCCTCTACTCCAGATCCCCTCAAGTCCATCCTCGACGCGTGACTCCAACTTCACGACATCCACGTCCCCTATGGAGCCGCTCCGACTACGGACGCGCAGGACCAGCGGACCTGCTCATCGCTGCTCATGGCGGCCTGCGGGAGATCCCCGGGGCCCTGCCCCTGCCGCCGCGGTCCCGGCACTTCCCCTCGAGTGTTCGCGGCGAACAAGGCCACGCGGCCCCGGCTCTCCCGGAGCGCACGGTTCCACGCGCATGCAGCCAGAGGGGGGCACGCGCAAGACAGCACAGCTGCCTCGACTTCTCAGGTCCAGCCCGGGCCTAGCCTGCTCTTACGCCGACTAGCCGGCCGCGGCCCGATGGCAGCCCTGCCCCAGAGAGCGAAGGTCACGGAGCTCCCCCGGAAGTGAAGTTGCGGGGATTTGCGCCAAGTTCCCGGGAAGCTCTGTGACGCGCTAGGCCCCGCCCCAACCCTTTACCTGACCCCCGCGCAGCCCCGCCTCCCACTGGGCACGCTACGGCCTTGTGAAGCGGGCGGATTGGCTGGGGGCGCTTCGCTCAGCCAATCCGGGTGCGTCCGGGCGTCGCGGCCCCGCCTCCTCCCCAGCGCTCGGGACTTGTAGCGCTCCGCGGGAAGAAGGCTGGAGCCCCGGTAGCCGTGGGGCTGGGATGGAGGCGGGAGTGGTGCCGGGGAGGGATGCGCCCGCACCCGCGGCGAGTCAGCCCAGCAGCTGCGGAAAACACAACTCGCCGGAGAGGTGCGCGCCGTCAGGGGAGGGCCGGGGAGGCGGCCGGCGTCCCCCGGCGTGTCCCGCGCGGGAGGACGGAGGGCGCTGCCGGCCTGTGGCCGCTCTCGCGTGGGGCGTCCCGCGCGGGGATGTCCTCGAGGTCGGTCTAAGTCAGGGATGCGAGCTTCGAGGAGGAGCAGGTGCGAGCTGTGGCCCGGGAAGGGGCCACGGAGAGGTGACTTTGGGGCCGAAACTCGAGTGACTTCCAGGGTGAGGTTTACAGGTTCTGGGGTAGCAGAGCCTGCCAGGAAGAGGGCACAGCAGATGCGAAGGACAGGGGACTTGTCGGAGGTGACCCGGCGGAGCCCCTGACCCGGGAAGAACTTCGGGGTTCATTCGGAGCCTTATGGGGCCTCGGAGGTTGATCACGGAGCGATGCAATTTAAGTGTTCTGAAGGAGTCCTTCTGGCTGTTTCCTAGAAAGTAGGGGCGCGGGTAGGCGTGGGACGGGAGGAAGCCGGGAAGCCAGTTGGGGATCTTGTAACAGTCTAGGAGGGAGATGTGGTGTGCTCCCAGAAACGGATGCATTGGTAGGAAGCTGTTGCACCGGGGCAGGTGAAAGGGAATTAAGGATTCTCCCAGGCTGCTGGCCCAGCTGCAGGAAACTGGGGGTGGCCACCGCTGAGAAGCGCGGGGGCCCGGAGCACGTGGTGTCTACACTTGTTAAGTCCGAGAAGGGCAGGAGGCAGGGGTATGCATTTTCCGGTCTGTGTGTCTTCTCTCTCTCTGTGCAGTGGCGCGATCTCGGCTCACTGCAAGCTCCGCCTCCCGGGTTCACGCCATTCTTCTGCCTCAGCCTCCCGAGTAGCAGGGACCACAGGCGCCCGCCCCCACGCCCTGCTAATTTTTGGCATTTTTTAGTAGAGACAGGGTTTCACCGTGTTAGCCAGGATGGTCTCAATCTCCTGACCTCGTGATCCGCCCGTCTCAGCCTCCCAAAGTGCTGAGATTACAGGCGTGAGCCACGGCGCCCGACCTGTGTGTCTTATTTTCCAGACCCCTCTTTTTCCTTTTTGTGAGCTCATTCGCTACCCGTGCTTAGAATATGAGGGGTCCAGGCCTAAAGCACACACATTTGGCATTCTACTTTGGTTGGAACAAAGTGAAGGGATCTGGGAAAATATCCCCTATGGAATCAGTGGAACGAGATTCCCAAGACTTTTTATTTTTTGGTTAAGAAACCAATAAAGTTGAGCCTGCTCATCCAATACTGATAGCATTTTAAGGAAGCAGCAAATAATGAAGCAAAGGAATGTGTAAAGTATTAATCTGAAATTCGAGCCATAGATTTGTTCAGCCCAGCAGCAGATTGAAGAGCTATAGTCGCCCAACAAACACTAGCTAGACTAAGGTCCTTTGGATGCTTATTTATAGGGAAGAGAAACAGACTTAAGGACACATGCAAAGTCAAGCCGGGCTGGGGGTTTCCTGGGACTATTAATGTCTCACGGGTCTGTGTGAAGAGACCACCAAAAAGGGTTTGTGTGAGTAACAAGGCTGTTTATTTCACCTGGGTGCAGGTGGGCTGAGTCCGAAAAAGGAGTCAGCAAGGGTGGTGGGATTATCATGAGTTCTTATAGGTTTTGGGATAGGCGGTGGAGTTAAGAGCAATGTTTTGGGGGCGAGGGTTGGATCTCACAAAGTTCTCAAGGGTGGGGAGAATTACAAAGAAACTTCTTAAGGGTGGGGGAGATTATAAAGAACATTGATCAGTTAGGGTGGGGTAGAAACAAATCACAATGGTGGAATGTCATCAGTTAAGACTATTTTCACTTCTATGGATCTTCAGTTGCTTCAGGCAGTCTGGACGTATCCATGCAGGTCACTGGGGATATGATGATTTAGCTTGGGCTCAGAGGCCTAACATTAATACTAGTACCAGAGTGGTAAAGGACGGCAAGTCAAACTTGTCAAAGCCTTGTACCTATTGAGTGATGTTTGTTTTTTTTTTAAAATTGAGATGGAGTCTCACTCTGTCACCCAGGATGGAGTGCAGAGGCGCAGTCTCGGCTTACTGCAACATCCACTGCCCGGGTTCAAGCGATTCTCCTGTCTCAGCCTCCCAAGTAGCTGGGATTACAGGCATGTGCCACCACATCTGGCTAATTTTATTGTATTTTTAGTAGAGATGGGGTTTTGCCATGTTGGCCAGGCTAACCTTGAACTCCTGACCTCAGGTGATCTGCCCGCCTTGGCCTCCCAAAGTGCTGGGATTACAGGCACAAGCCACAGCGCCTAGCCTATTGAGTGATTTTGAACAGAAAAGGTGCTTCATTACAATAATGCACATTCTGTCCACACTCTGTGTCTTAACAGCCGTAGTTAGTCATTGTATCTGGGGTTTCATGTGGATTGGTGTAAGCACTGTTTATTTTAAAACTAGGTAAATTAATATCAGGCAGGACTACTACACATGTTTCTAAAGGCTTTCAAAGATTTTGGATATTAGTAAACACATATACAGATAAATTTTACTTAGTGAGGGATCTTTCAGGGAATTTGTTCTTTCTGTGGCATTTATTTTGTCATCTTATAAAAATCAGGCACCTGCTGTGTGGCACCCATGGGCTTCCACATTGGTGACACAGTGGTGAGGAAAACAGAGCCCCTGTGCCCGTGGAGCCATACTTCTGTCAGTCTATTAAGGTGGACGGTAAGGGAACAAGTCTAGTGTGTCAGATGCTGCTGCTGCCTGGAAAGGAAGGAGAGAATGGGACCTACAGGCTGGGGAGGGAGGGACATAGGTGGCTGCAGTTTTGTGGGTTTGTTTGTTTGAGACAGAGTCTCACTCCGTTGCCCAGGCAGTGGCGTGATCTCGGCTCACAGCAACCTCCACCTCCCAGGTTCAAGCGATTTTCCTGCCCCAGCCTCCCTAGTAGGGCTAATTTTTGCATTTTTAGTAGAGATGGAGTTTCACCATGTTGGCCAGGCTGGTCTCAAACTCCTAACCTCAAGTGATCCACCTGCCTTGACCTCCCAAAGTGCTAGGATTATAGGCGTGAGCCACTGTGCCCAGCCAGCTGTAGTTTTAAACAGAGCTGCGGGGCAGGGGGTCACAAGAGGACTAAGTTGGAACAAAAATCTAAAAAAGTAAGGTGGAGGCAGGGCATGTAGTTTTTCTGGGCAAAGAAACGGAAAGTGCAAGGTCTGGGGCCAAAGTTCACCTGCCCCAGGGAGAAGCCCAGGTCACCACGAACCCCACAGGCCATCGCAAAAACGGGTATGGGGAAATAAGGCGAAACTCTGATGAAGTTAAAACAGCAGACAGGAAAGTTCCCTTGGGAATATGCAGCTGTTCCCCACCTTCCATAAGAAGGGCCAACGATCTGCCCTTTATAGCTGTCAGATGGGTAATCTGGGCCCAACAGACTGTTAATCCTACCAGGGGGTAGAAAGAGTGTTTGTTATTAGAGGCAGGATCTGGCTGTGTTGCTCAGGCTGGAGTGCAGTGGCTATTCATAGGCGCCATCATAGCTCACTGCAGCCTCAGACTTCTGGCCTGAAGAGTTCATTCTGCCTCAGCCTCCCCCGTGGCTGGGACTACAGGCACGATCCACTGTGCCTTGCTAGAAAGAAATTTTGAAAACCTAAATGAAAATCCAAGTCCTATCAATTATAAAAGAAATTGGCAAAAACTAGATTATTAGAAATTGTGCATACGTTTTCCACAAGTAGTGCAGATCCTGGATATTCCCAAGTGCAGCTTGTGGGTGTCTGCAGTGCTTATGCAGGAGACTGCCGTGCCCTTGACATTATTTGCTCCTGCTGATGGGATAGACACAGAGCAGCCGTATTTCCCATGTGCCGTCTCCTTTTCCTTAAGGGGAGTCTTTGCTTTCTTTCCTTCAGGAAAGTTTATATGGACTATAATGCAACCACTCCCCTGGAGCCAGAAGTTATCCAGGCCATGACCGAGGCCATGTGGGAAGCCTGGGGCAATCCCAGCAGCCTGTATCCAGCAGGTAATTCTAGAAGATGCACATGTTCACAGATGGGAGATAATGGAGATGGGACGCTCTTAGAGAAATTGCACACGCACATATGATGGCTTTGTTTTGAATAGATTTCTGTTAGCTGCAAATCTTTAGCTGTAATTTTTGATTGTTTCTTTTCTGAGAAGTCCCAATTTGTAAGCTGAGCCCTGCTGCTACTGTAGTCTTTAACCTTTAATGTTTAATCTTTAACATGCTGTCCTGTCACCCTTTCCCAGATGAGAAAGGTGTCTACTGAGAGTTCCTTGCAGTGGCCGTCAGTGCCTGTTGAGCACTGCACAGATCTAGCTCAGTCAGTCCTTACAGAATTCGCAAAATACGTCTTTTCGGTCATCAGGATAACGTACAATCCTGGCCCTTTTTAAAAATGAAAATTACTTTTTCATTAATTAGTTATAAATATTCTTATATGTTTCCAATTTATTCTTATTGTCATGTAGAGCATTAAATGGGAGGTTTTGGAGAATAATTTGCTTCAAGTCAGTTATATGGCAGAGTTACATTCTGTTTTTCAGATAGATGAGCAAACTCAAGTCTTACCTTTCTTATTTAATGTTTATTAGGGATAATTAAGATAAACTGTGTTAACTGTGGATTATGATGAACTAAAATAACTTCAAACAGAATACTGCCAGGCCATATGGTTTAGTAACACTTGTGTACAACTTTACAGGTTTCATATGTTCTCATATTCAGCTGCTGTTAAGTTTCACAGGCTTAATAACAAAGCCCTCAGCTTAGATACTAGTCATTCATTGGCTTAGTTGTTGGTCTATTCTGGCTAATCTTCTGCACGTTGCCTTGTATCCAGTCTCTCCTTTAGTAAAATTGAACTTTCTGACATATTAAACTTGAGAATACGGAGAATAACTAAATGCCGATGACAGGCATTGTCTCATGAAAAAGTCTGGGAATCGCTGTCACGGAGAAATCCTGTTCTGGACCTGAATGAAGCCTGGCAGTGGCTTTTAGGTTTCCTTGACAGCCTTTTTTCCACAAATCAAGAACCATAAACTCAGAAGTGTTGCAGTTCACTTTCTGTTGCTACTCAGATAGAAATGCAAAAGAAAAAAAATCAATTTATAGAGTGGTTTAATTATTTTCACAGTATTATTATTTAAACATTATTTAATAATATTTAAATATTATTATTATTATTTTGAGACTGAGTCTCGCTCTCACCCAGGCTGGAGTGCAATGGCACTATCTCAGGTCTCGGGTCACTGCAACGTCCGCCTCCTGGGTTCAAGCGATTCTTCTGCCTCAGCCTCCCAAGTAGCTGGGACTAGAGGCACGCGCCACCATGCCCGGCTAATTTTTGTATTTTTAGTAGAGACGGGGTTTCACCATATTGGCCAGGCTAGTCTTGAACTCCTGACCTCGTGATCCACCCACCTCGGCCTCCCACAGTGCTGGGATTACAGATGTGAGCCACCACGCCCGGCCTAAATATTATTATCTAAAGTCTTTGAGGGAAATTTATTTTAAGGAAAATGTTGAGGATGTGGGGAAAGATTTTACATACCTAAGATATTTATCACAGTCTTGCTTATAATAGCAAAAAAAAAAAAAACCTGAAAATAAGCTCAGCGTTCATGAATGTTTGTGAAAAATAAACTATCTTCGGCAAAACAGAAGAAACCTCGTGAGCGTGTGGAAGATAGCCTGTTGCTGGAAGATAGCCAGTGCTCAGACCTCCCCGTCCAGCCCACTGAAGTCACTACATCGTCATAGCGACGGAAGCCTCTGGAAGCTTCACTGTATACCTGTGAGAAAAGGAGCGTGAACAAGGCTGCTGATCCCTTAGTATCATCATGAAAACAGTTTTGACTTTGTGGAGCTCGTGAGAGGGCCTTGGGGTTTTGGAAACCGCTGACGTAAGCGGCACTGACAGACTGAGCATCAACTGTGTACTCAGCACCCTGTTGGGGAGGGATGAAGCATGGTGCCCAAAATGTGTTTGGGTTTTTGAGGCATTACCTTGTCCACTATGTGGAGAACGGACCCTGGTGGGGGCCAGGTAGGAGAACATCACAGCAGTAGCCTTGGCTTGGTTGGTGGCTGGGCGGTGGAGAGGCGGAGTCAGGTTCGGAACGTCTTTTGAACACAGAGCCTACAGCATTTGCTGGTGGATTAATTGGTGGGGAAAGAAAAGAGAAAGAGCCCGTGCTTTTGCCCTGGGCTGCTGAGGGATGGAGTTGCCATTTCCTCAGTGTATTAGTCTGTTCTCATGCTGCTAATAAAGACCTACCTGAGACTCGGTAATTTATAAAGGAAAGAGGGTTAATGGACTCACAGTTTCCCATGACTGGGGAGGCCTCACAATCATGGAGGAAGGCGAAAGAGGAGCGAAGTCACACCTTACATGGCGGCAGACAAGAGGGCGTGTGCAGGGGAGCTCCCCTTCATAAAACCATCAGATTTCCTGAGACTTAATGACTGTCATGAGAACAGCATGGGAAAGACCTGCTGCCGTGATTCAGTTACCTCCCCCCGGGCTCCTCTGATGACACGTGGGAATTATGGGAGCTACAATTCAAGATGAGATTTGGGTGGGGACACAGCCAAACCATTATCACTGAGAGAGGGAAGGCTGAGAGTGAGGGTGAGAGTTTATTACGGTAACTTTTAGTGTCACCAAGTAAAATGATGGCGTTTTCCTGAACATCATAGGCCTTAGGTGTTTAGGAAACTGCTACTAAAACTGACATCTATACAGTAGCATTAAGGAGCGGCAGAATTACTTTGTGTATTTATTTCACCTCAGCTTTTTATGTTTCTCTTTTTTATGATGTTTTGTAATAGTATATGTTTTAGTGGTGCCTGTTCAATTTTTTTTTTTTTTAAACAAGACTGAATGGTCAAAAAAGTTTGGGGACTCCTGGTGTGTACAGTAAGGATGGTCACTGAAACTTTCAGAATTCCCATGCCAGAGCCTTTCTTTCTTTGCCCCATCAAGCATGGTTCCTGTGTTTTCCTTCTAGCCAGTGAAACTGAGTGATGGCAGGATGCACAGCCCTGTTTGAAAGCAGGTGTGTCCCTGAGACAGTAACCTTCGCAGCCCAGGTACACCGTGGGCGACATGCAGAATGAGATATGGCACTGGACTTTGTGTTGAGGAGTCATGAGTTCTGTTTTTGCTTATTTTTGTTGTTTGCAACTCATTCCATCCTTTCATTCTCCACTCTTGTTGAATGGGAAGCAAGGCAGATGGCCACAGCTTCCCCCCACAGCAACTGGTAAGAAGAAAGCCACATCTTGTGGGACGTCCAGGTTCTTGCCAACCTCCCATACTTGTTTCTGGGTCACATGGAGTTCATAACTCTCTGTTTGGTCGCTGGTTCGCTGCTGTCTCATGGCCGCCCCTTTGCCAGGTTGTGTCTAGGTTGTAGTGTTTTGCTGTGCTCACATTAAGGGGGCAGGTTTTTCTTAGGACGGCCCACGCAGACCTCTTACTCCTTTGTATTTGGTTGTCCTTTTAGAAGCGTTGATAGGGCTTGGTGAAGCAATGTTAACGAATTTCCTTTTTGGTCCCTCAAGGAAGAAAGGCCAAGGATATTATAAATGCAGCCCGGGAAAGCCTCGCGAAGATGATAGGAGGGAAACCTCAAGATATAATCTTCACTTCCGGGGGCACTGAGGTAAAGCTTCTGAACATGCTCACGTTCTTTTAGCTGCAAGTTATAATAAAATACACAGAAAGTGATTCCCTTTTGCTACATTTTCATTTAAAGAAAGAGTAGGCCAGGTGTGGTGGCTCGTGCCTGTAATCCCAGTACTTTGGGAGGCCAAGGCAGGAGAGTTGGTTGAACCTAGGAGTTTGAGACCTGCCTGGGCAACATAGGGAGAGTCCATATCTACAAAGAAAAAAAAATGAGCTGGGTGTGGTGGTGACACCTGTAGTCCCAGCTAGTAGGGAAGCTGAAGTGGGAGAATCATTTGAACCCAGGAATTCAAGGCTGCAGTGAGCTATGATCACGCTGCTGCACTCCATCCTGGGCAAGAGAGTGAGACCCTGTCTCAGAAAGAAAGAAAGAGTAATGTGTGGTCTTGCTATATTGCATACTAGCTCGAGATCATTAGTATATATCCTTTAAGTAAATTTCAGGTAGCTAATAGGATTTTCGTAATGTAATATGTAAAGTAACCTGCTTTGCATTGTTATTTCCATAAAGGTTTCCCCATCATTTTTGCCCTGGAATCATTCCTTTTAATCCCTAATTGATAGATATTTAAGAGCTTTCCAAGGTTTTGCTGTAAGAAACAGTGCTGCACTTAATAAATAACCTTTATACACACTATTTGGTTTCACTGTGAGTATAGCTGTAGGAAAAAGTCCAAGAACTGGACTTGCTGGGTCACGGGGCTCATTTGGTAGATGTGACAGTAGAGCCCACAGTAGAGGTTGTACCAATTTATACTCCCACCAGTAGGGGGTGGCTGGACAAAATACTCTTTTTGGCAGATTTATAAAATTTAAAAATTCATCATATTCTATGCATATAACAAAACTGCACTTATACCAATACATTTATATAAATTCTTAAAAATTAATAATATTGCTTAACAATAAAATAGACATGATCGACTGGAAATGAATCTCAAGTTTTTGAATGTTGGAAAACCCCAAATCTTTCAAAAGGTCCAACTCAGGAAGCTGAATTTCTTTGAAGCTTTTTTGATATCAGCCACAAAAGAAATTAAGTAACAGAAAGTGTTGCTCTAACCCTTACCTCAGCACAGTTTTTATAAATGCTTTTTTTGCTGTATCTCTGCAGTCAAATAATTTAGTAATCCATTCTGTGGTGAAACATTTCCACGCAAACCAGACCTCAAAGGGACACGCGGGTGGGCACCACAGTCCAGTGGAGGGGGCCAAGCCCCATTTCATTACTTCCTTGGTGGAACACGACTCCATCCGGCTGCCCCTGGAGCACCTGGCGGAAGAACAAGTGGCAGGTGAGTGGGTGCACGGTGGCCCTGGGGCCAGCCTGCTGGGCTCCAGCTGTGAGGCGGGGAGCGGCCTGCAGGCAGAGCCCGGGATCCACTGCGGAGATGTGGATTCAATGTGCCACTCACTGTAACTGCCCGGTTCTGATGGGGAGCCAGGCCCTGGCGCCTTGGTGAATAGATGCCCCTCACTGCGCTGGGCTCCCTGGCTGCCCCTCTCAGTGCAGAGACCAGCTGCCACGAGGGCGTCAGCCAGTGTGGCCAAACCTTCCCTTAGGAAAAACATCCAGAATGAATATGTAGAACTAGCCATTTGTGTAAACTGAGTGATATTTGAAACTTGCATATAAGAAATATTTAACCTTTAAATAGTACGCCTGCAAATGGGCAAATGAAGCTTGTCATTATTTGGTTTTCATCATAAAATCTCAGCTCCCACTCTCCTCTCCCATGAAGGGAAAGGATCAAATAGCCCTAAACTTCAGGTGTGAAGCCTGGAATAAGCGAGCTGCCGCACCTAATCTCAGCACCCATGAGGCAAGGCCTCCCGCTGTGTGTGGAAAAGCAGAGCGAGGTGGTGCCCAGGTGCAGCAGGAGGCGCAGGGGCCCGCGGGGAGGAGGAGGCTCACTGCAGCAGCAGTGGCCCTGTGGCTGTCACACAGCACAGACAGAGCCACCTCTCAGTTTTCCTGCCATAGGACGTCCCAAAAGGGAGCGACATGTTCACCAGGTGTAGCCCATTAACTTGTAAAACTGAGGCAGCCCATTAATCAACACTGTCCTTGAAACAGATTTTCTTCTCAGCCTGAGCTTGCTTGTGTAATCTATATGAAAACCTGAAGGTGAATAAAAAGAAAATACATTTCTCTTCAAGATTAAGGGACTGTGGCTGAACTGCTTGGTTTGACTATGAAGACTTTTTGGAAAAAAAAATTTTTTTGGCCGGATGCAGTGGCTCAAGCCTTGTAATCCTAGCACTTTGGGTGGCTGAGGTGGGTGGATCATTTGAGGTCAGGAGTTCGAGACCAGCCTGGCCAACATGGTGAAACCCCATCTCTACTAAAAATACAAAAATTAGCCAGGCGTGGTGGTGCATGTCTGTAGTCCCAGCTACTGGGGAGGCTGAGGCAGGAGAATCACTTAGACCCTGGAGACGGAGGTTGCAGTGAGCCAAGATCACACCACTGCACTCCAGCCTGGGAGACACAGCAAGACTCCATCTCTGGGGGAAAAAAAATTAGCATTCTATTGAGTGGGATTGCTGGGTCATGTGGTAACTATCTGACAACTTTTAAGGTAACTGTTTAACCTTAAGCTTTGTTTTCCAAAGTAGCCGCACCGCTTAGTACTCCTATTTGCAGTGTCACAGGGTTCCAATTCCTCCATGTCTTTGCTGACATTTGTTATCTGTCTTTTTGATTATTGCCATCCTAGTAGGTGTGGTTTTGATTTACAATTCCCTGATGGCCAGTAGTGTTGAGCATCTTTCATGTGTTCATTGGCCATTTGTATATATCTTCTTTGGAAAAATGTCTATTAAAGTCCTTGCTCGTATTTTAATTGGATGACTTGTCTTTTTATTGAGTTGTAAGCATTCTTTATATATGCTTGATACAAGTCCCTTATCAGACAGATGATTTGTAAATATTTTCTCTCATTCTGTGGGTTTGCTCTCGCTCTCATGGTATCCTTTAGAGAACAGAAACTTTTCATTTTGGTGAAGTCCATTTTTGTTGTTGTTGTTCCTTGTGTCGTATGTAAGAAGATTTTGTCCTACCCAAGGTCATGAAAATGTACTCCTATATTTTCTTCTAAGAGTTTTATAGTTTTAGCTCTTACATTTAAATCTGTGGTACATTTTGAGTTAATTTTGTGTGTGGTGTGAGGGAGGAATCCAAATTTACTTTTTTTGCATGTGGACATCCAGTTGTTCCAGCACATTTGTTGAAAAGACTCTTCTTCCATGGATGGTCTTGGCACCCTTATTGAAAATCAGCTGACCATAATATGTAAGGGTTTATTTCTTGACTGTCAACTCTCTTCCATTTACCTATATTTCTATTCTTAGATTGGTACCAAACTGTTATGATTACTGTAGCTTTATAGTAAGTTCTGAAATAGGAAAGTAGGAGTTCTCCAAATTTATTATTTTTTAATATTGTTTTGGCTATTCTGCATCTGTTGAAATCTCAAAAGAATTTTAGGATAAGCTTGTAAATTTCTGCAAAAAGTCTAGCTAGGAGTTTGATAGGGATTGAATTGAATGTGTAGATGAATTTGGTCAGTATTACTACCGTAACAATATTGTTTTCCAATCCATTAACATGTGATGTCTTTATATTTACTTTAATTTCTTCCAGCAATTTTTGCAATTTTCAGGATTTTTTGCACTTTTGTTAAATTTATCCTTAAGTGTTTTATTCTCTTGATACTATTGTAGATGGAATTGTTTTCTTATTTCACTTTTGGATTGTTTATTGCTAATATATGTAGATGTAGTAGACCCTTGAACAGCATGGGTTTGAACTCTGTGGGTCTACTTATATGTGGGTTTTCTCCTATCTCTACTGTCTCTATGACTTCAGGATCAACCCCTCTTCTTCCTCCTCCTCAGCCTACTCATTGTGAAGATGATGAAGATGAAGACCTTTATGATGATCTGCTTCCACTTAATTAATAGTAAATATATTTTTTATTCCTTATGATTTTCTTAGTATTTTTTTCTAGCTTTATTGTGAGAATACAGCATATAATATATAATATACAAAATATGTGTTAATCAAGTGCTTATGTTATCATTTAGGCTTCTAGTCAACAGTAGGTTATTTGTTGGTTAAGTTTGCGGGGAGCTGGCTGGGTGTGGTGGCTCACACCTGTAATCCCAGCAATTTGGAAGGCCAAGGGGATACAGATCACTTGAGGTCAGGAGTTCAAGAACAGCTTGGCCAACATGGCAAAACCCCATCTACAAAAAATACAAAATTAGCCGGGCATGGTGGCACATACCTGTAATCCCAGCTACTTGGGAGGCTGAAGCAGGAGAATCACTTGAACCCAGGAGGCAGAGGCTGTAGTGAGCTGAGATGGTGCCACCACACACCAGCCTGAGCGACAGAGCAAGACTCCATCTCAAAAAATAAAAATAAAAATAAAAAGTTTTAGGGGAGTCAAAAGTTAGACACATATTTTCAACTGCATGAGTTGTGCCACGCCCCTAACCCTCACATTGTTCAAGGGTCAACTGTACAGTTGATTTTGTATGTTACTCTTGTATTCTGCAACTTTGCTGAATTTATTAGTTCTAATTGTTAGTCTTTTTTTTTTTTTTTTTTTTTTTTTGAGGCAGAGTTTCACTCTTGTTGCCTATGCTGGAGTGCAATGGAATGATCTTGGCTCCTGCAACCTCCGCCTTCTGGGTTCAAGCAATTCTCCTGCCTCAGCCTCCTAAGTAGCTGGGATTACGGCAGGTACCACCATGCCCAGCTTATTTATTTTGTTATTTTTAGTAGAGACGGGGTTTCACCATATTTGTCAGGCTGGTCTCGAACTCCTGACCTCAGGTGATCACCCAAACCTTGGCCTCTCAAAGTGTTGGGGTTACAGGCGTGAGCCACCATGCCCAGCCTAACTGTTAGTTTCAATAGGTTTTTTTAATGGATTCCTAGGATTTTCTATATAGAGGGTCATATCATCTACAACTAGAGATAATTTTACTTCTTGTTGTCCAACTTGTATTTCTTTAATTTTATTTTCTTGTCTGATTGCCTTGGCTAGGACCTCCATACAATGTTGAGTAGAAGTGGCCAAAGTGGATATCCTTATCTTACTGCTGATTGTAAGGGAAGGCATTCATTCTTTCATAATTTCATATACTGTTAGCTGTGGGTTTTTTATAGATGGCCTTTATCAGGGTGAGGAAGTTCCCTTCTGTGCTTGGTTTGTTGGGTGTTTTTATCATGAAAGGGGTATTGGATTTTGTTAAATACTTTTTCTGCATTTATTGAGATGATCATGTGGGTTTTTGTTCTTTATTCGGTTTGTAATGTTGTATTACCTTAACTAATTTTTGGGTGTTAAACCATTTAATCCTTTTCATATGTTTTTAGATTTAGTTCACTATTATTTTGCTGAAGATTTTTCTGTCAGTATTCATAAGAGGTATTAGTCTGTAGTTTCCTTGTGGTGTCTTTGTCTAGTTTAGTGTCAGGGTGAAACTTGCCCTGTATAAATCATGGGGAGTGTTCCCGCCTCTTCTGTTTTTTGGAAGGGTTTGTGAAGACTTGGTTTTCATTCATCTTTAAATATTTGAGAGTTTGCCAATGACAACATCTGGGCCTGGGCTTCTCTCTGTGGAGAATTTTCAAGTTGCTGATTCAGTCTCTTTATTTTTTATAGGTCTGTTCAGGCTGTATTTCTTTTGAGTCATTTTCAGTTGTTTGTGTCCTTCTAGGAATTTGTGCATTTCATTCGTTACCTAATTTTATTGGCATACCATTGTTTATAGTAGTCTCTGGTAATGCTTTTTTATTTCTGTAAGATTTATATATCCCTTTCATTCATGATTTTAGTAATTTTATTCTTTTTTTTCTCTTGATCAATTTAGTTAAAGATTTATCTTTTTTAAACTCCTTAAAGAACTAACTTTTGATTTTCCTGTGTTATTTTTGTAGTCTCTATTTTATTAATTTCTACACCAATCTTTATTAACCCATTTATGCCGGAGGTTGCAAGTTTTTTTGTGTGTGAAAAATCAGACCTTGGCAATAACCTTGAGCAGTAGGATATAAATAACTCCCACAAGCTTAGCGTTCCAATGATGGAACACTAGGCATAAATAGGTTCTTTCTTTCTACTTGTTTTAGGTTTGATTTGTTCCTTTTTTCCAGTGTCTTAAGGTGAAAGATTAGTTATGATTTGAAAAAAAATTTTTTTTTTGAGACAGAGTCTTACTGCTCAGGCTGAAGTGCAGTGACGCAATCTCAGCTTACTGCAACCTCCACCTCCCAGAC